AGAAACCCTCTCCGATTGCGACAGTACCCCATTTCTTTTATTTACACATCTCTCACGCAGAGTTGTTTAATGCCTGTCTCCCCCAACTCAGCCTGTCATTTCCATGAGGGCAGGGAGCAGGTCTGTGTTATCTGCTGCTTCATTCTGAACACCTCGTGTGTGCCTGGCACACAGTAGGCGCTCCTGCGGGGTTTGAGGCATTCAACAGCTGTCACTGGAAATAAGAGTTGGCCAACAATTTTTATCAGAGCCCATTCAGATGTGATACAAGGCAATGAGGCCACCATGGGGGCAGGTGATATGATCCTTTTGTAGGCCTAGATCAATCTAGACCAGTGGTTGTCAGCCAGGGGCGATTTGACTCCAGATACTCGGGCTGTCTGGAGACACTCTTGATAGTCATGTGTAGACTCTGTGTGTGTGTGTGTGTGTGTTTGTGTATGCGCATGCACACCGGCATGTAGAGGGTAGAGGTCAGGAATGTTACTAAACATTCTACAATGCACAAGACAGCCCCCACAGCAAAGAATTATCCAGCCCAACATGCCAAGAGTACCGAAGTTGAGAAACCCTGCTCTATAGATGGGTGAGCCAACCCGATGGCTAAGTTCCCATTTGGCCTACTGGCTGCTACGGCCCAATTGGGTAAAAGCAAGAGAAGCTTAGTGGCTGTCCCAAGAAATATGGACTTGTGATCTGCAGCCAGGAAGCAGCTTGGATCGAGCCTCAGCCCAAGGCCCCAACACCTTGGGCAGTTTCCCCTTAACTGAACTCCGAGCCATAAGCCCAGCGGGCCTCGCCTGGCACTCGTCTCTCTCTGACTCACTGCATTGGGTTTCTCTCGATCTTTGGTGGAAGCGGCCGCCACACTCTCTTCCCACCCATCTGCCCCGCTGATTATTTTCAGCTTGGCTTGCAGAGGCCCAACGCTGCAATTACACCCCAACCTCAATGGCTCCTTCTGAAAATAACATTTGGGTCGAAGAAAACCTCAGTCTGGTGGGCTGGATTTTATACTAAATAGTTAAAGAGTGGGTGTGGGCATGGGGGTGGGGGTAAGGGAGTGACCCAATGGTACAATTAAGAGAAGAATCTGGAAGAAGGGGAAGGAAAAGGAAGTCAAAAGAGGGAAGGAGTGGTGGTGGGAAGGGCTGTTGCAGAAAGAAAATGTATCTGCTGGGCAGGGGTCAGCCATCTTTTAGAAGTCTTGCGCCAAGTCTTCATTTATGCCTCTAATTGAAGGTTTCGTTGGCTGAAATAACTCGCTCCCACCCCAAGTCATTGAGTCCTGGGAAATTCATGTCTGCCTGGGGCCAGAGGAATTAGCCTATGGGCATACCAACCTTTATCCAAGCTAGTGACCAGATTTTCCGACCCCAAAATAGGAGCCACATGCTTTGACATGGGATTTTTGTTCTCCTTCCCGGTGAGCAGAGCAGTCTGGGAAATGTAGTTTTGTGAGGCTGACGGGTGGGATTTCTAAGCGGTTCCATGGAAAATGGAGGAGAGTAGATAGGACCTTCCAGGGCAGGCATTCTCATGGAAAGCAGAGATTTGTGGGTGACTAGTTCAGAGCAGAGAAGGAAACTCTAGACATGAGAACCTTTGTCCCACCCGGGGGCAGAGGGGGTGGGAGATGTAGGGGCTGAGGAGAGAAATATCTGGAAGCACGTTTTGGTTCCTAAAGGAGGCAAACAGAGATAAAAAGGCTGTATGAGGTGAGATTGGGAAAATAGGCAGGGGAGTTAAAAGCTCCGACCTGGAGTCAGCCAGACTTGGGTTCAAATTTAAATTGTACTCACCACCTGGGTGCTCCCCAGAGGTAACTTTGCCTCCTTAGACAGGCCAGCAGTATAGGCGCTAGAGGGAGGCTAGCAAAGTTTGCATCCCGGCTTTGTGATCTTAGGCAAGTTACTCAACCTCTCTGTGCCTCACTTTTCTCTTCTGTAAAATGTAAACACCCACCTTCTAAGGTGTCATAAGGACTTAGAATAAAGTGGTTGGAACTGTCCCTGGGACATAGGGAATCACTTAACATATGTTAGCTATTATTACTACTTCTGGAGTTTTTCTCCAAATGTAGTAGGCAAGAAACTTTTAGCTAACACATACATCTTTTATTTGAATAGTTATGAATTTATTTCCAAGTGTATTAAAATATAAGACTAGCACATCAAAACTGCAGTTTCTCGAATGTTATTGCTTAGAGCAAGGTTAGGCACAAAAATGGAATTGATTTAAAGTTAATGCAAAGAATTGGGAAAGTTAATAAAATAAAAGTCAATTAAAAATATATAATATAGGTGGAATGTGGGTATAGGAGAAAATCGTGCAGGCAATACCTGAATGGCTGAAAAATTTGGAAAATACTCCACGATGCCATGTTCCTTCTGCTAATAAAACCTAAGACACTCAAAGGTGGAGAAATGATTGGGCAGAAAGACATCCATCAAGGCGCTATGAAAACTTTGCCTCTGTAATCACTGTTGCCTTTTCGAGAAATCGGTAGAAGGGCCCAGGCAAGCGAGGCCGGACGCCCTAAGGAGCTTTGGGACCCCCACAGCATTGCGGATTGGGGGGTTTCGGGAAGGGAGGCAGAATCCAAAGGCCCAGGTCCGGAAACCAAAAGCCAAGCTCCCCAACCTCCCTCTCCCGCCGCGTTTGGGGCGATTCGGGCCTCTCTGATTTTTTTGGATCACTGGGTCAATCAGTCAGCCAATGCCTCGGGAGAAGTTTAATTAAGCTCAGATCGCCGGCGCGAGCTGCCAAAGGTCTCCCCGCCCGGCCGGCCCCGCCCCCAGCACATCTGGCCGAAAGCTTCTCCCCCGCCCGGCGCGGCCGAGCCGCAGCCCGCGCATGCGCGTCGGCAGGCGCCCAGCGCCCCGCGGCAGGCTCGGCTCCCGGAGCCGCGTTGCAAACTGTTGCATCAGACAGCAAGCAGCCGGCCGGGCCGCCAGGGTTTCTAGGAAGATAGGAAGGGTTTGCGATCCTCTGTGGTCGCTTGGGAGCGTTGGCCGTCACTCACGGTGTTTACACACTGGTAACCCGATCCCCCTGAAATTTCAAGCTCGCGCCGTCGAGGGGAGGGCCTTAGCCACGGTGAAAGTAGCGAACGCCGCTGCCCCCGAGCCCCGCTCCGCGGCCCCAGGCCGGACCGGCTGGCTGGACTCGGTCTGCTTTCTTAATGGCATGGGCCTGAAGGAATGAGCTGGGTTCGATTTCTCTTCCCGAGTACAAGAATGCCCCTGAGGAATTTCTCGCTCTGTGAAAGTGCAAATCTAATTTCCCCAGACAAGCGCGGTTGCCGGTTCCCAAAAGAGCTTGGAAAGCTCCCAGCAGGAATGTTCAGTGGTTTTCAAATCTCTTCACCCCAGCAGCTGGACACGCAGACACTGACCACCAGGAACTTCTTGGTGGATGAACACACGTCCTTCACAGATAGGCCTTTTTGGCACATGTCGGGCCCCATGTGGTGGCGACTCTGGGCATTAGCCAGAGAATGCACAATGACGGACGCGTGCAGACACACACACACAGACCGAATTCTCTAGATTCAAATGATCCTGCAACTTAGGTAAGGGAAAGGTGTCCTTCTTATTGTCCCTCATTCTTCTGGTCTCTGGGCCACTGCCTTCCTCAAATGGGGAGAAAATAATCTGCATGTAGAAGGGATGGGACAGTCTTAGGGGGTGGAATATTCAAGAAGAATGAGGACTGATCTGGAATCTACTTTCTAAAGAGATTTCCAGGGACATAATCTGAATCTTACGGTTCAATCCTCTCTTTTTTTTTTGGAATGGGTTGAGACCAAGTCATTCAGTCCCTATTAATGGATTTTCCAAAAAGACAAAAAACTGACAATTTACCTTAAGCATTCTATCTTTTCTAGGCTGTTGGTGGTGGAAATCTATTCCACTTGAATAACCTTGAAAGCTACATCAGGCCTAGTGTTTTTCTTTCCCCTCATTATTGTGAATCACTCAATCTCAAGATTCGATTAAAAAAGTGACGCAAAAGACTCCTAAGCATTATCCGACACATCCCTCTTGTCAGACAGTCACTGTTATTTGTGTAAGCCAACATTTCCCTTTGAACAGCGGGATATTATAGCACTATGGGATTTTTCATTGTAATAGATGCTTCATAAATACGGCCCGGGCTATTTCAGTCATCAACAGTGACCGTATGAACTGAAGGATGACAACTCAAAAGGGAAGGAGGGAGTGTGGGCAAGTGCTGGAGCTGGAGCATTTCCAGGCCCTGCTTCTGAGGGTCCATCAGGACCCAAACCTTCTGCCACATGGGTGTCACCAAGGTGGTGTCCTGGGATCATAGGGTGTGGTCTCAGGGAGCTGGCAGGAGCTGATAGAATGTCAGGTGTGGCTGAGCAATAGTCTTCACTGGAGAGCAAGTCATTTACTATTGTGGGCCTCTCCAGGCAGGAGAGTTGGAGCTATGAGGCCAGCAGCCAGGTGGGAACGGGGAGAGAGTAAGCTTATGAGCGCGTGTTAGGTTCCCTGCTGTGCCATGTAGTGGGTGCTCAATGCACATTTGCAGAAAGAATGCACTGAAAGAAGGAGGGAAGGCGCAGGGAGAGGAAAGGTCAACAAGTCCAAGAATGTTACAAGAGGCAGCCTGGGATGCGCAGGGCTCTGTTGTGTCGAGTAACAAGGGAATCCTTCTAGTTCAAAGACATAAAGCAAAGGGCCAGCCTGGTGGCATAGTGGTTAAGTTCACGCACTCCGCTTCGGTGGCCTGGGGTTCACAGGTCTGGATCCCAGGTGTGGACCTATGCACCACACGTGGAGCCATGCTGTGGTGGCATCCCACATACAAAATAGAGAAAGATTGGCACAGATGTTAGCTCAGGGCCAGTCTTCCTCAAGCAAAAAGAGGAAGATTGGCAACAGACGTTAGCTCAGGGCCAATCTTCCTCACCAAAAAAGAAGACTTATAGCAAGAGATTCAGAACTAAGTCTCATGAGGTCCCTTCTGCCTTGGTTTCCTTCTTTGGAAAAGCTGCCAGTTGGTGATTCCAGAATTGACCAGGCATTCTGTTTAATCAAGCCTGGTGACATCATCAATGATTGCTTCACCTCGACTGAATTCCCAGAGCAAACTTCTGGAAAAGTCTGAGGGAGGGCGTGTGACCCATATCCAAAGGACAGGAAAATCCCCCAGAAGCCACACTTTAAGACCATAAGCAAAGTGTGGCCCAGATGGTTAGAGGATGCAGACATACACAAAAGGGTGATTCGTTTTCCACATTTATTGGGTACTCACAGATTCTAGACACTATACCCAGTCCAGATGCAGACAAAGCTCCCGTTCTAAGAGCTTATGATCTAAATTCCTTGTGGAAAGTCTGTCTTTGAAATGTTTAAGGCACCTCATTTAATCCTCATTTCCACTTCAAGTCGTGGACCTGCTTCCCGAGAAACCCATCCCTTTTGAAGTTGGTAGCTGGCCTTCTGCTTTTGCTATTTATGTGCCAATTGAAAGGGTGGAGAGAGCCACATTAATTTTGAAATAAAACACAAATAGCGAAATGAGGCTTGGTTAAAGTAAAAACCACAAAAGGACTTTTTTTTTCCTCTCATACTTTTCAGATTTTCCTAGAACCACCTTTATTTCCTCAGAGCCCAGACATAGAAAGTGAGTGGGCCTCTCCGGATGCTCTTCCAAGAGAAAGAGAAAGCCCGCTTCCTCATCTCCCCTCAGTGCACCTTGAAGTTTTGCTTTTCATTTTTAGACAGTTGAGTCCCAAACTGGGGCTCAGAGAGGAATCGAAGCGTCTAATTCACATGTGGTGTTTCTAAGCATCTTGGAGGAGATTTCGGTTTGCTTTTGCATAGCCTGTATCTTACCTCTTCTGTTCACTGCGTCAGCTTGTGCATCCTGGGTGATGGGAATGGGGCTCTCAAGTCACATCCTCCTGGGTGGATTCCCAGTGTCGCTACTTACCAGTCCCGTGACTTCATCTGCTGAAGGGGAAGAAGGATGCACACCTCTCAGGGCCGCAGTGAGGACTAAGCAGTTAAGACCAGAATGGGCTCAGCAGAAAGCAAGCCCTTAATACACCGCAGCTATTAGGAAAATAGATCCTTTCATCTATCTGCTCCTTCTTTAACAAATCCCCTCCCCCTATTTTGGAGAAGGAAAGAAAATTAGTCATCCATCCCAAGTGGATGATTTATCCCCATTTTACATCACCAAAGGGCCAAGTTTGACTTGTAAACACCTGGGCCTTTTAATGGGATGAGACCAGTGTTCTTGCTTCTCAGCAAGAGGCGACCCAACCGGTGGCGGTGCAAAGACTGGGCAGAGCACAGAATATGGGGAAGGGTGGTCTGGAAAAGCAGGCCCAGAGCCGACGGGAGGGGCCGGAGGGGTGCCTGCTCCTTGGAAAGACAGGTTCCCGCTTCGGGATTCTGAGTCTCCGGGTCTGCAGGCAGAGGCCCGCCCGCCTCGGGGTCTGGTGACCGTGGACCCGAGGCGCGTGCGGCAGCGCCCTCTGCCGGCCGCGCGGGACAAGCGTCCAGCCCCGCGGCTCTGCAGGTGGGACCCGGGATCCCTCCCGCTGCCTCCGCCCCCGCCCCCGCTCCCGCTCCATCCCTTCCGAGGACCGCGCGGCCAGGTCCCCGACCGGATTCCAGGAGACGCGTCCTTATCTGACGCCTGCGGGCTGAGCAGAGACGATGCTTGGAAACATCCGATTCACCTGGGGATCGGAGGCCGCGGGAACCCACCTAAACCCCGCAGGGGCTGCGCCTCTTGGGCTCCGCGGCCAAAGTCTGCCGGGCTGTCGGAGGTGGTTTGGAAGTGGCATCGCCTATGGCCAAGACCGCGGGTTCTGCGGACAGAGAGGAGCCCTGGGTTCGCTTTCTGCCTCATCCATTTTCCAGCTAGGTGACCTTGGGCAAGGTACTTAAATTTCCATGGGCCTTTCCTCATCTTTAAGATGGAGATAATGATCCCAATCTTGGTCGGTTGACATGAGGATTACATGGGATCAGACAGCCTGGGTTGGAATTCTGGCACTGGCATCAGCTAACGGTGCGCCTGGGGCAAGTTACTTAACCTCTCTGTGCCCTGGTTTCCTGCAAAATAGGGATAACGGTACTTGCCTCCGAGGGTTGTTGCCTGCAAAGCGCTTAACGCAGTGCCTGGCACAGGGGAAGCGCTCAATAAATGGTGGCTATTATGGTTGTTGTCATTATTGTTCTTAAGACCGCTACACGAGCAGGCTCTAGCTGGCGGCTATTTTTAGTTTCTTTCTTGGGTCCGGCTATTTCTTTCCGGGCATTGTTAAAATCTGTTACCCTGCGCTCGCGTCCTTATCTGTAGCGAAGGACAGTCGGCCTTCCCGAGTGTGGAAAATCGAGGTGCCCCTGGAAGAGGGCCAAGGACGCGGCCGCGGGCTGCGGGGCCCGGGACCTCCCGGAGGATGCCCGCGCCGCGCCGCCTCCGCCCGCGCCTCCATTCGCGCGCGTCAGAGCCGCAGTGACGTCGCCAGGTCCGGGGGCGCGGGGAGGCGCGGCGCGGGAGGCGCGGCCTGGGCACGCGGGGAATCTGGGGTGGCGGGGATGGCGGGGTGGTCCGGCCTCGCGGCTGTCCTGCTGTCCCCGGCGGCCGCGGGAAGGCCCTTGCCCGGGCTTGCTCTGCAGCGCCTGCCGGAGCCCAGCACCCTCGGGCTCCGCCTGCAGCCCCGCGCAGAGGCGGGAGATGCCAACGCCGGCCCCCGCGCCCCAGGCCCGCCCAGCCGGACGCGGGGTGACCTCCCGGCGGCCGCTCAGCATCTGCGTGGTCTTTCCCCTACTGTCCTTCTCTTCCCCTCACCCGCCCCCATCCCGTTCCTGATCGTCCCCCGGCGACCACTCAGTTTCTTCTTCCTCTCCCCTCCCTCGGGACCAACTCGTTTGTTGCGAGTGGTTAATAACCACCCACAGGAGGCGCCTCCCACTCCCAGCTCTCGAGCTGCAGCCGCTGGCCCGCCCATCCCATTGCCTGCCCGACACTTCCACTTGGCTTGCCCTACACGCAGCTCTGACTTGCTGTGTCTTGCCCATATTATTGTCCATCTCGGCGATGGCGCTACCACCCGCCCCATCATCCTAGACGCCTCACCTTCCGCCCTAAATACCTCTCCAGGCACTCTCCATTTCTTCATCCTGGTTCAGGCTGTTAACGTACTCCGCTCAAAATCTCCCTGTCTGCCCGCCTGCCTCCTTCAGACTCGTCCTCCACACGCTGCTAGAGCAAGCCGCGCACAACCTGTGTCTGGCCCCGCCTCTCTCAAGACTGCCCAGCCTGGGACCCCCCCCCCCCCCACCCCAAGCCCTCTCTGTTTTCATGGACACTGTCGTCTGCCATTTTCTACCTAAAACCTTGTGATCTGGTCCTCGGTGTGGGACTCTGCTGGGACCACACTACTGAAGGTCATCAGTGTCTCTATTGCTGTTGGGCCCTATCCAGGGGATTTGCGTTGCATTCTCCCTCCTCCCCCAACTGGCTTCCTCTTACTCATTCTCCAGAACTCAAGATGTGAGTCACCTCTTCAAGAATGCCTTCCCTGTTCCGCTCTCTGGCTTAGTGAAGTGTCTTTGGGCCCCCAAAGCTTTCCATCACTCTGCTTTTGTCTGTAAAGGTCTGACCCTTCAAGATGGCCTATGATGCCCTGCATGGTCTGTGTACCATCCCCCGACCCCCACCTCTGACTCCAGCCCCTCCTTCCCTCTGCTCTGGCCACGTTGTGGGTCTCAGTTCCTGGTCTCTATGTTCACCCTCTGACCCCAGGGTCTTTGCACAGCCAGTTCTCTCTGCCTGGTACACCCTTCTGCCCTTGCTCACCTACTCAATTTTTGACTCTCATGCTAAGTAAGCAACATTTCGTCAGAGAAGCCTTCCCTGACCCCTCCCCCAACCCCAACCCCAATTCAGTCAGATCCTTCTTTGATAGATCAAAGCATATAAAAAACCACACAGAACAATATCAACACCTGTTTATTCTGGGCTCCTCTTCTGCCCCCTCGCTTTGCCAAGGTTTAACATTTGCCATATTTTCTTCAAATCTTTTTTTTAAGGACATAAAACTTTACAGTCTAGGCGGACCCCTTGAGCCCATCTCTGTCCCTCCTCGAAGGTGACCCCTCTCCTGCATGGGAGGTGTATCGTTCCTATACACGCTTCTGTGTTTTTATTACATACGTTTGTGCCTAGAAACACTTTATAGAATTGTTTGGCCTGTTTGTAAACTTTGAACAAATGGCATTCTACTGAATATATCATTGTGTAACTTGCTTTTTTTTTACTCAGCATTATGGCTTTGAAATGGATCCATATCAATACCTGTCATTCCAGATCGTACATTTTCACTGCTCGTTAGGGTCCCACTCTATGAGTTCATCACGCTTTGCCTGTCTCCTGCTGGTGGACGTTCAGCTTATTTTCAATTTTATTTTTGTTAGAAACAATGCTACAATTAGTATTTTTTCATACCCATCCCCTTGTGTGAAAGCGAGCCTTCCCAGAGGTACTTGGGTGTGGAATTGCTGGGGCTCGGGTCTTGCAAATCGGTGGCTGCACTCGGCTTGGCTGAACAGTTTCTCAACGTGGTTGTGCCAGCTGACACCTCGAGAGCAACATATAAGAGTTTCCATGCTTAGCATCCTCAACCACACCTGGTAATGTCAGACTTCAAAGTTTTTGCTAAGCTGATGGGTGTGGAATGGGATTTTAATGTTTTAATGTGCAATTCTCTGCTTACAAGAGAGTGAGCATCTTTTGAGTTGTTTATTGGCCATTCGTCTTTTTAAAATTGCTCATCCATTTCTTTGACAGTGTTTCTGTTGGATTATCTCTTATTACAGGTAGGAGTTCTTTATATATTCTGGATACTAATCCTTTGTCAGGCTGTAGTCGATCCGGTGTCTTTTACACAATTGCAATTTTAAATCAGTCTGATTATTTCATTAATGTCTGACTTTCCCACTAGACTATAAGCTTATGAGAAGAGGGACCAACCCTTGCAGCCAATGCAGTGTCTAACACATACCAGGAACTTAATAAATACTTCCAGACTGAACCGTATTGACAGTATTTGTGTTTTTATATGCTTGCCTCCTCAGCCCTCACCCTCAATGACCCACAAGGCTATAAACTTCTTAAGAGTAGGAATCGGGAGTTACTGTCTTCATTTTTGTGTCTCCATCTTTGTGTCTGTCACAACACACTTCCTCTGGCACAGAGTATATAGGCAATCATTTTTGCTTCATTAACTTCCTTTGAGCTTTCTCTTTCTTTTCTTTCCTGTCTCCTCAACCCATCTTCTATCTCTAAGCCCCGTTATATTATCTATAAAATGAATGAATAATAAATCCCTCCTCAGCTGTTTGCGAGAATCGCGTGATATAATGTAAGTGCTTAGTGCACAGTTGGCGCTCCGTAAGTGGTGACTTTCATTATTCCCGCAACAATCATTTTGGTGACTAAACGTACATTCTGTTTAATTTTAACAGACAAAGTTCTTTCGGAGAGAGCATAAAAGTGAACGTCCTAAAGATCTGCTGAGCGGGATTTTTTTTCTTTTATCAGCATTTGACCCATTATATAACGCTCAGTCCCTCCGTGAGCTCTGAAAAGCATCAAATATCGTTCTTCTCCTTTTCTTTTAGAAATTCCAGACATATCAAAGGCATAGGAACCATACATAAAACTCAAACCTTTAAGTGGAAACATATAAAGGCCACTTCCACGTCTTTGGCCAAAAGTCAGAGAGCAGAAAGGAGGTCTGACAGTCATACCAAAGGCAGGATTCTGTGGCTGCAGCCAGGGACAAAAGCAGAATTCTTGCATCTGTTTCCTACATCTGCCATTGATTGAGTGACCTCTGATCTACTTATAAAATGAAGATAATAATTCTTGCTTTTTCTGGAGGTTGAACTTTGTTAATTACTCATTTTAAACTGCTTTGAGATCCTCAACATGAAAGGCAGCTTGGCCATATTTCAACAGTGCTCCCAAGAGGTAAATGGTCCAGCAACATCTGTCCATACAACACGGGAATCCGATCTGCGTTTTACCAGAAAGGGAGGCCCACGAAGGTGGATTTGTGCGCCGGGGAGTGGTAAGCTGCCGACAGACGGGGGAAACCCCTTCATCTCTGTCCCCGCGCTTGCAGGAACGAGAAATCTCAGGGCAGCCTTATTTGATCAAGATGTAATACTACTCGGAGGTCCGTCATCTCTAGGCTTTCATCTCCACATGAGGAAAGCAGGTGGCTGTGCTGGGCCCACTGCAACGTGAGCCCGCGGGAGGGGACAGTTAGAGCCACAGCGACCGCTGGCAGTGGCCTCTCCCCAGAAGGACCCAAAAGAACTCTGCTGAGAGATGTAACAGGAGAAGGTGGGCTGAGCCAGAAAGCACAACTCAGAGGTCTGGGAGGGGGACTCGAAAGCAACGGAGGGCACCGGGCCCGTCTGCCAGCTCCCTGGAGTAGCATGCGAGGGTTAAGCCGGCCCCTCCCGCAACTGTTGGAAGCAGCAGTTGGAGGAGACAGCCCTGGAGGCAGAGGGACCAGGCTCTAAAACCCAACTGCGAAACTTACTAGCTGTGCAAATTTGGTCACTAAACCTCTCTGAGCCTCAGCGCCTCTACTGTGGCTAGGGATAATAATACCAAGCTGTCGCGGTTGTTAGGAAGATTAAATGAGAAAAGGCATGTGCCAGTGCGCCACTCCCGGAAGGGGTTCCATCAATACTGATGAAAAAGATTAAAACACTAAAAACTCATTTAAGACTGAATTCCCTTTAGTTTTTAAAAAATGCTTCTCTCTCCTTATTCTTAAAGTAATATTTGTACATGATTAAAAAAACCCCAAAAAACAAAAAATACGACAGCACGAGAGAGGATACAGTGAAAAATGC